TGCATTATCATCGTCCGGAATAGAAATATTGCGCAATTGCGCGTTTAATTGCGGCTGATAATCGACCTCTTCGCGGGACAAAAGGCGCCGCGACGAATAAGCAGCCAATTAATGCGAAATCGCTTTGGCGTGAGTATAAGTAGACATCAGAAGATCCATAATCTTTCTCTCGTCAGAGACGAGGATTACCATACGAATTGCATGTTTCGGCAATGCATAACGTTTTATGTCACTTCCCTGTCTCGCGATCTCGTGATTGAGACTGAAATTTATACCAAATTCACACGGAAAAAAAACTGGATTGGACTAAGCGAATTTCTGATAAAATGAATGAGCCGAAAATTTCGATTAATGCTTACGATTAAGCTAATAAGATTTCTTAGTTATCTTGAATGAAATTGTTGGCTCGTTCATATTTTACTAAAAATAGATTAATAACAAACAATTTTATAAAATTAATTATTAATTGGTATATAATCAATCACACAAACAAGCTTGTTAATAATTAATTTCGTCAATTGATGGTATGATTTGTAATTTTATATACAATGATTGATTAATTTTCTAAAACTTGTAGTTTTAGACGCGATTGTTTATTTTTCCCTTGTTTTTATTTTAATCGCGAAAAATGTCTTGTTTCACAAAATTATGAGTGATTTACATATTAATGAAATTAATGATTAATCAGTGTGTAATTAGTTACAACAAAGTTTGATTAACTCGTCATTGAAAAGATGGAATTTGATGAATTTCGTTTTTCCTTTTTTTTTGTATTTTTATAATTTCTCAAACTTTATGATATATCTCTCATAATTCTATGGAATATTGAGATTTAATAACAACCAACAGAAAATCCTGAAGATATAAAAATTTAAAGAAAATGAAGTGGACCCTACTTTTCTGATAACAAGTTAACAATTAATTTCGTCAAACGATGGAACTATTTGTGACTTTATATATAACGATTGATTAATTTTGAAGATTTATTTGCCGATTATTTTAGTCGAAGGACATTTTCATCGATTAAGATGTCCAAAACTGACTAGAGGCACCATGCGCTCTGTCTAGAGACATTACATACTTTCAGGGAAGTCAAGAGGTGACAAGGCCGTTTGAAGTACGATTTTTTGAGAGAAAAACAATTTCTTAGCAATCTCGCGATATTAATCCGATGTTATAGCGAATAAATCACATCCCATTTTTATTCTCAAAATTCGCACGCAACGTCGATTGCCTGGTATTTTAATGCAGATTTATTCGCGTGCGATTTGTACATGATCGACATGGTGGAAGCAATCCGCGGCAACGGAATTGTTATGAAAAATCGCACGGCGATTACTCGTGGTTATATGTAATCGCGCGAGTACTTCCACCTGGACGTGTCGACGTTGGTGAACTGCTTTCTCGGGGTTTCTTCGGGTTTCGACATGAAATCCGCGAAGGCAGCCGTATTATCTTGGGCAACGCTGGCGAAAAGAATGACGGTCACTGCAAGGGACTTTCCATTTCTTCCTTAGCGCGAAAAGCATCACGCAATTCGAGTAATTAGATGTTATGGCAATAAGCGCTAGCAAGTCGAAACTTTGGCCGTCGATATGGAAAGTGCAAGTTTGGTGCGAATGCACCAGCAATGTGGCGCGCGCAGCAAATCGCGGGGTAACGCAGTGCGATTTTCTCTTTATTATCGAAATGGGTACAACGACCTATACAGTGTTGTTTCCATTGACCTCTTGAATTTGGCGGAAATCTGGATCTTGGGTTAATGTAAAACCAAAATTGTGACTTGCGGGGTTGTTTGTACGCGGACAGAATTTTATGGGAAATATTACTATGAAGAATTAATATACTTTCTCTCTCTCTCTACTCTCTCTCTAATACTGTAGATAAATGTACTATAATATATAATAATAAAATAGATAAATGTATTGTAATATAAATGTGTTATAATATTATAGATAAATGTACTAATATTCTATATTACTATATATTGAAAAAAATTATCCGATAAAAAATTAACAAACGGATATTTCTGATCAAAATACTGATCAATTTTTATATACAATTAGGAAACATCCGATGAGAAATAATCGGTTTATAATTTTTTGATCGATTTATCTGATGAAATGGCATTATGATCGGAAGTATCCGATACAATTTAATCGGATATTCTGATTGGAATTTTATCTAAAATATCCGTCTGTTAACTTTTTATCAGATAATTTCCCTCAGTATAGAATTACTGTACTCATTTCTGTAGAATAACTATAAAATTACTGCAGAATTTTGAAATCGAGGGATAGATTTCGACATTCTGCGCGGTAATTGATTATCCTTTCACTTCACATATGCTACGTATATTTTAGGAATTGAAACGTGCTGTTGAAAAATTTGCTACGTTTTTTTAGCAAGATAGATTTTATTGACATTCTATTTCTGCGTTACTAAAAACATAGCGAAACTGAAGAGTCTATAAAATCTATATGAAAAGGAAAGGTAAAGAGAAACGTTCGCGTATGATTATTCATATTGCTCGATCGTTTGCACGATGATGAACGCATCAAGGAGCGGTATTCGTCGCTAAGCACCTTTTCAGAATTCGCCAGATTCCTGAGATCATATCGCGAGAACATAATGAGACGTTCACATAATGAGACGCGGGTAAAACGTTTTGTACGAATTACGCGAGGCAAAAGAAGGAAATAATGTCTGGTCGTTCCGCATTGTCGGACGATTGACGAAGAATACTTTTCATGTTACCGTAAAATAGATGGTCGCGCAGGATGTGACGACTCGGCACATTCATTTCAAAACGTCTAACATAATTCGAGTTCCGAAATGGTACGAGCTGTTTGCACAATCGTCACGAGACCGCGACTCCGCACAAAGATTCCCTGGGGGTTCCGAAAGGACGTTCTCATTCACAGTCACAGAGATGCAATAAAGAGGTTTTGAACCTCGGTTATCGACGTCGTGTCGCCCGCGGCAAATATTTTCGTAATACGTAGTGAAACGGCGTGAAGACACGATACAAATTTTATCCACAACCATAATTTCTCAATAATGTGTTTTGAAGAGTGTCACACTGACGATAATGACAATGTCGCAAATGAAGAAAAAAGAGCTTAGGCTATCGTTAATGTAACACGAACGTGTGAAAGATGTCACGTTGGAGGGATAACCCGATGAAAAATTGTCATGCGTAAAAGATATAGGTGTGTCTGTGTGTCACCTAAAAGTTATCGCGTCGCGATTAATAAGTGCGAAAAGACTCCACTCCACTCTACGCTAACGCGCACCCGCGCGTGTTATGACTATTGATTTGAACGTTCTTTCATTCCGAGTTCACAAAAACTTTGTAAAATAAATTATTGCGAGTTCTCGATAGTAAATCAACGTGAGAAATGCGACACGAGCGAAAAACACGAGACCGAGTGCGACTCGGTAAGCGGGAAGATCACTTTCAGGAATGCAGAATCCGAGATTTAACGAGGAGAAGATCCGGGTGGCATTAAGTACGGCATACTCGCAGTGCATCGGACATTGATAGATGAGAAAACTCCGGCAAAATTTCCGAGGATTTGCTCGTGAACCCACTTCCTAAAGTGGCACGCACGTGAAATCGGTCAGCGCGTACGCTCGGCGAGTGGATCCGCTAGAGTTAAATAACGCGCTCACAATTAATACCGCGTTAATAATCTATCCGCCACGGGCGATAAATCGCGTCGGATACTCAGCTCGCGGGACGATCCCTCGACGAGATATTGCGCGTAATTGTTGTAGGTCAATCTAACCGTTGCAAGCGCGTAAGTGTGCCGTGTCACATCCAGGTCACATTATCGACACCGCCACGTTAAGAGGCCGTCTTACTCTTCGGACTGTAATCCGAGGACTCAGCATAATTAGAAGTACCGCGATCGTGATAGTCTAAAACCACTGAGCACGTTAATCATGCTGGGTAATGTTAATCAGACGACTAAATGTACACTCAGACACGACTGAGAATAACGGTGAAATAGATAACGACGTACGTGCAGATAGTACGTGTTGATAGCTGTCTCGAATCACTGCAAAAGCACCGCAAACTTTCGACCACTTTCGACATTAACGCGGACATTAAGAATGTGTTATCAAATGATCGACAAAATATCACATGAAATACAAAAACTCGCCGCTTTTTCTCGCTTCTACCTGATTCACTCTCTCTTCACCTTCCCCAATATCATAGAGAAAATTATTTCCTGTTTCTACTTGCGTCGGAGGTTGGGTTTTAATGTTCTGCTAAATGACCTGTCATTTCCTTCCGATACGTCTACTTCCCTCTTCCCTCTCTCTTTCTTTTTCTCTATCTATATGAGGAAGGCAAGTATTCGTAGTTCGATGGTGTGTAAGAGCTCCATCGAGATTTTCACTTGTTTTATCATATTTTTTGTTTATTTTAAATTTCTCTAAGGATTTTTTTGCTTTTCACTTTTCTAATTTGTCTTCATTCTTTCGTTCGCGTGACCAATTAGCTATAATTATATGCATAATTACATAATTAAAAATACATAATTAAAAATTAAAAATTAGAAATTATACATAATTAAAAAAGAAAATACTTTAGATCATTAATAAATATCTATGCTGATACTTAAACTTCTCAAAATACGTCAAATACATTAATTCAATTTTAATTCAATCATATCAATTTAAATTTTTAAAACTATTATAAATATTATACCAGATATTTTACTTCTTTTATCTAATATTAATCCATATATTTTATATAACCTCATACGTTAACTGCCTTTAAGGGTTATGTCCTCTAAGATTAAGATAAATTTCTTTTCTCTCTCTCTCTCTCTCTCTCTCTGTCTGTCTTCAGCTATCTCTCTCCCTATTTCTTTCTCCCTTTTTCGATGCAAAATCATTTTGCGACGTGTGTATATGCATTGCGCGACCGTGTTCTTGGGCCACATTCTTCGTTGCTTTCAGATGAGAAATTATTCGCGTTTACTTACGTAATGTCAACCCGACCACCGTCGTAGCCGTCGTCGTTGTCGTTGTCGTCCTCGTCGCCGTTGAACGTTCCACGGGCACACGCACAACCGGGTTCATTAACTGTCCAGTAAAATCCGTCTTTATGTAACTCACAACAAGCTCTCCGAGAAAGAGAGTTGGAAAAGAGGAGAAAGAGACACCGAGCGAGTTTCTCTATCTGCTATCGAGTGCAACTTGACGTTTCGGTCTCGCGCAGGATCGCGATACTTTTTAAATCCCGTTCAAAGTTTACGATCGTTTCAATCGACCGACTATTTCAGTTCGCTTCTCGTTTCTGTCTGCCTCCACATCCCTCGCGATGACTTTGCCAAGAGTATTGTAAAAAATCGAAGGACTAATTGTCTGGAATGTTTTATTTGAAAACGAGAAAGAATCCTGCCGAATCCGCCTCCTCCTTCTAAGGGCTCACTTTCTGTTGATAATCACAAGATATATTCCTCATACTTCCTTTTCCTCAACCAAGAGCTCACCCGATAACGAGATAATTGATCCACTCAGCTTCAAGAGCTTCAAGAGCGGCGCAATCGACACAGCTCGAAGATCACTCGCCACGTTCCCGCGATTAATTCCAAGCGCGCCGGCCACAGGCCTCCTTTTTAATTCGCGAGTCGTATACGTTCGTATACGGGGGAGAGAAAGAGAAAAGAGTTTGTCTGATCGAGGAGCAAGAAAGGGCAATAGAGAGAAGGAGAGAGAAAGAGAGACGAAGATGGGGAGAAAGGGACAAGATAACGAGAGACAATAAACGATGATGGAGAAGGCAGGGCGGCAGAGGAAAACGAAATGATCCATTCGACGATGTTCGCGCGCGGTCCACGATCTGTCGAATAGCGAGTGAGGAGATAACGCGATGTAGTGCCGCTGGTAGAGACCATCAGGTACCCACCAGGTACCCACCGTGTGCCCATCGAGTGCCGGTGGTAGGGAAACGCGAAGCACACGCTCGGACGGATAGCGAGCGCGAACGTGAACGTGTGCCGGTCACAAACGCCGGCCAACTTCGATGAATTTCGCGAGACGATGAGATCGCTCCGACGAGCGAGAGACCGTTTTGGACCGCCAGGTGATCTCGCAATGTGAATACGGGGAAACGAAAACCGTGGCTTGTGTACCTCGGCTGGCTCGGCGAATTGCCGGAGGAGATCGCACGCACGGGAAATAGTCACGCGCGCTGACCGTTAAATTAGATTAACCCTTTGCATTCGTGTGCCTGCTCTCAGTTGCCGGAACTAGCGGAACGTTAGTTAAATGTTTTGTTTTCTTTCAGTTCTCTTTCAGTTTCTTAACACGTTTACTACTAACATCACATACGCGTGACGCAATGTTCTCTCACTATAGCCAACAACGTCAGTTATGTGTAACGGCAAAACATTCTTTTTCCATGTCCATATTATCTAATTATGTTTTACAAAATTATGTAAAAAAAAGAGAAAATACGACTGTAGTTCTCTAAATAAGTTGTAAGTAGAGCGAACCTGTTAATTAATTCGAGAATTAATGAGGCCCCTCCGTGAATAATTATATTTAGCAGTATATTCTCTTTACTTTAATTGGTAGCTTTAGTTGCTTACTTTTGTAGAAAGTATATATATAATCAAGAGATACGTTTAAAAATTGTGACGAAACTTTGCAAACTTTTAAATTTACATCCATTCTTCCGCATGTTTTGCACGAAAAGCAGATAAAAAGTTCATTATGAGTTAGCACTCAAAATTATTAAAACTCAAATTGTTACAAAATATTGAATCTTTATTACTCAGTTAAAACATTATTTCATATCATCACGATTAAATTCGATTCCTAAAATCCCATTTGTCAGTCTTTTGAAAGTCTGTCGGTGTTGAAAGAGAAATACGTTAATTAAGTGTTCTAATTTATACGCAAAAAAATTACATAGTAATATCAGCTAAATTGCGGTAGGTGATTCAAACTTAGTCAAAAAACTAATTTAGCTGTCATTGTTAAGAATTGGCTATGACAGCTAAAATTCATTCGTTATGAAATACAAATATATTAGATGACGTTAAAAATGCACATTATTTTAAGTAGCTAAGAAAATGGCAGTTATTCCTAAATTTTATTAAAGAAGTTTGCCGCACAGCTACAATCATTTGTTTGCTACAGTCATTTGTTTTTAGCAGCTAATATTTCACGCTGTAGCGCTGAAGTTTAAACAGCGAATAAATTTAGCCTCGGTAATATCGACATTAGCTATCCCTATTTCAGTGACACATCTTATCTGCCACAGCTATTTCTTAGCTCTGGAAGCTAGTTTCTGTTTTGTGTATACTTTCAGAAGATCATAGAATTAAAAAATGCATATAAAGAATCAAGAGAAAATTTTGAGAAATTTGAGAGTTATATTCTTTTTTGTCCTATATCTTGTAAAAAAAGAAAACAAATAAAAAAATTCATTATGAGCTGACTGATATTGCTAGGTTCGAGTCTAGTTTAACTTTTTAAAGTATTATTAATAAATATGTTATAATAAATTTAAATCATTTTTAATTTAATAAATAGATAATCCCATTTATTCTTATAATATTTATAAATTAATTAAATAATTTTAATTAATTTTTATTTAATTATTAATAAATTCAATTTAATTAAAAAAATTAGATATCTTTTAAATTAAATAAAATTTTTTATCTATAAATTTATTATAAATAATATTATTATATTAATTCTTATAAATTTATAGCTCTTTAAATATCAAAATATTAATATAATTTAATTTTTTTTTTAAACCCTTTAAAAGTCTATTTGTCATCTGATTTAATTATTTGTATTGTTCCAAATTTGTAGAAACGTTTCCTTTTTGATTCATGTATGCACACCAAAGGTTTCTCCTGTTTTTGAGTAAATAATAATAATAATCGTGAGTGCAAAGAATAGAATCTTAATCACTACATCAGGACATCGTTTTCCATTTGAAAAATACAGATGAAATACAGATTCCAAATTCCCAATTCGTCGGCTCGCCTCCGTCGGTTGCGCAAGGGATGATTGCAGAGCTCGCGTCGCCCGCGAGCCACCGGTGTACGATGACGTGCGAAAACGAGGATTCGCCGTGCGTGACGCGTTTCATTGTCGGCTTGCTCGCGGAGTATCGTGCGTGCAGCTGCAATGTTTCCCGTTGCTCGAGTGCATCGCAGTCGATGATACTCGTGCTGTTCCGTTTCTCGGCAATAGATCCTCGCTGTCGCATGCGATCCTCCGCGAGGAAGTCACGGAAGAGAATCTGCCTCTCGCCGCTATCATCCCCATCCGACGGAATGGATCGTGTGTTACTGCGGTTTGTTGACTCGAGTCCAATCTAACAGGGAGCAATGCGAGGATCATGAGCTTTGAGAGTAGCCGACGAAGAGGAGACGACAAGTACCGCGAGACCCTCGCGAGATTCCAGCCGAGCGTCTCGGTGAAGGACGATCGCGGTTTTCGCGAGGGTTCAAGCGAGACCGCTCGCGCTTCCATACTCTCGACCGATCCTAGAACCGTCGAGACCGGAATCAAGGACCGCCGAGCGAAAACCGCAAGAATGCGGCTACGGGCAGACGGCTGGTTATCCTGAAAATATCCGATACGATTACAGTCGCGACTGAGAACTGTACAGTTGCGTCGAACGAAAGATCCCCATCGGGTCAAAAGGTATGATCCATTAGCTTCGAAGTAGCTTGGAAGTGTTCCGACTATTTCATCAGGTCGTTAATTCCACGTATAAGACAGAAACGCTTCGAAGAGTTTATAAAAAGTCCATTAACGCGCGCTTGCGCGTCGATCATGCTGCAAACGCCCTGGGGATATCGTGAGGGAATGCCTTGTAAACATATTTCCACAAACGCAATCAGGGACATGTGTGACGTCAGATTGCGCAAATACGATAACGACGACTAACTGATAATTTTTGCGAATCGAGTTATGCAGTGTCCCACGTTCCAGCGAGACCGTAATGTGAACAAAAAAGATTCGTTCAGAGTACTTTGAGTCGCTTGATCGTTTCCTCCGGGCAAGATCATAAACGGCGCATCCCGTGAATCCCCGTGAGAAAAGTGATTGCCTGTCGAGCGAAATGTATGTTCCACGAATGTATCGCGATCGCGCGTGTTTATCTGCGGCATGACGATAATGACGCAGTATAGTTTGGATATTGCATAATTAATTACGATAAAGACAATTTCGACAAACTGTCTCTAAATCGCTATTGACTGTAATCGACGCGCTGAAAATCGAGTGTCTGACAAGTATTGCGCGTCTGCTTGTCAAGTATATACAGAGACGTGTGGATGCGAAGACGCGGTTTCTGTTTCGCGGTTTTCAAAATACGCGATAACGCTCGCTGGTTTGCGACACGAATGAATCCAGAAATCACTCGGCATTAAATCGTCATGATAATTAAGTTACAACGCAGTAAAACAGAGGCATTATCATGTTCTTTTATCTCATAAAAATTCATTTATTCGCTGAGAAAAAAAAGTTTTGTATTTGTCACTATAATTACACACTGACATAATTATAGTCTAGGAATTCTTGTAGCAAACACTATTTTATACAGTAATAAACATTTCTTGTAGTAAATATGATTATGGTGCTGCTGGTTATAACGCAGGTTGCATTCCAAAATGTTCTTTTTGAAGAAAATTTTACTCAATATCTACACGGAGAAAAATAATTCGCTGGTCCAACAAATTTTCTGCTGGTCTAGCAAATGATTCTTAGAACAAATACATTCAACAAATTTTGTCTATTCTGGTAACGAAACTACTTCTGCTCTGATAACATATTCGTTACAAATTATTATTTGTAATATCAGTTACGTCAACTAAATTTTTTTGATGTCACTACGAATATGCAGTAGCAACGACGATTTTGCTAAAAGAGCCAAATTTGTTCTCCGTATATAGTTTACGTTACATAGGACCAGTTGTTCCAACTTCCTGATAAGTTAATTGATAGTTAAATCATATGTCTATCTTTGTTTTTCCTTCAATGTAGACAAAGACAGACATATGATTTAATTATCAGTTAATTTACCAAGAAGTTGGAACAACCAGCCCATATACTATAGAGTATCGAGTAAAATTTCCTCAAAAAGGACGTTTTGAAATGCAACTCTAATATATATATTGCCATACTATTACTTCTTTTCTGTTACGTAAACTGCGTTAATGATAATTCAATGATAATTTAATCAATCAGAGATCAATATGTTTCAATTGAATAAATGTGCTTCAATTGAAATTCATTATTAATTGGATCTTAATCGACATGAATCTCGATATTTAAAAATCGAACAATCTGAGTTTACGTATGACAGAAAATCAGATCACTTATAAAATAATGAAACATTCGATATCGATACCAAGTGTTTATTCTGCAAGGCCGTGTGTCACAACATGCACTTTGCATTCGTTAGAATTCTTCTTTTTAATGATATCCGCGCAGAAACATGTATGATGCCAATGTTGACAAGGCATTAAATTGTAGCTCGAGGAGGAATTTGCGAGTTTGCGTGCCATTGCGCAATGTCGCTTTTCTAATTAACCGACCTATCCGATCTAGATCAATAATTGTGCAACTTCAATAATAAAATCGACACATACGCATATATACACGTGACAGACGTGCAAGTGGCGCGAGACATTCTAATTCGTTCTAGTAATGAGAGAATTAAATCGAAAATACAAAAATTATCTAGATTGCGATATTCTTTGCGTGCAATGTGCGATTTAAGCACAATCGATAAGATCGATATTGCGCGGAGATTGTGTTAACTAATTGTGCGTAACGCGTATAATTACTGTCTGCATACTCAATTATATATACGTCAATAATTTTCTTTGCTCAACTCTAATGGTGATTATAGCTTAACTGACTTTGTTTCTCGATTTGATTGCTGAGCGTGTAAACTATACATAACTCCGGTGGTCAGTTCTAATCGCTTACAACTATATAACTAATGTGATCTGGACATAAAAGCGCTTGTCTTATGCTAACTGACTTGAGAATAAATGTTATTTTATTATGACTTAGTGTGACTTATTTTAGTGTGGCTTAGACAAAACAAGTCACATTTAAATTGTATGAAAACGTTAATGTTCTGCTTTCATTTAAATACTACATATATTACATACCAAATACAAATAAACGCGCAATTTTTATCGCCGAATAATTCGATGTTAAAGTAAAACATAACCTTTCGGGTTTTGTCGGTGACGTAAAAAAAAGAAAACCTAATCTTTAAAGATATCGCTCGATTTTGTGTACAGATACTTATATAGAAAGTTTTTGATACCAAAACTCAAGCAATGGTTACTTAATAGATTAACCATTGAGCAGTTGTCACTTACTACTTAACATCATATATCGTAACAATAAACAACACCAATCTTAGAAACTTGACTATAATAAATAAATACTTAATAATTAAATACTTTAAACTGCAAAATATTCAACTGCAACATTCCTCATTATCTTCATTTCGTTCGAAATTGTAACTCGTTGATTTCGTATATTTTTCAATGAGAACCAAAGCGCGTCTGACTATAGTTAAATTATTTGATTCTTTCTTTATGACACAGTGGCGGCTTTTAATGGAAACTTTGGAACTAACAAAATAAAATAACGAGTCTAAAGCTGTTAGACTCGATAAAAGATTTGTCTAACATGGCTAATCTGGCGCCATCTAATGTCTTTTCTCATAACTACGTCACAGTTAAATCCGCCCAGTTAGGTTTAATCTATAATAGATGTCGTAAGCTGCAAAGCATAAGAATTGACCAATCACAGCCAATTGTTTCAAGAATAATTAGCTATAGCCGGTATTCATAGTCGAATCTTATTTCAAGGCCGTCTTAAGTAATGTCTTATGGCTCCTGCACACAGTACGCGGTAATGCTTGACGCGCGGCGGAAGTCCGCGCGACAGCCAATCAATATGTTGTTTTTCCGTAAAAGCTAGAAGGTTATTACGGAAAGCAGCATATTGATTGGCTGTCGCGCGGCAAGCATTACCGCGTCCTGTGTGCAGGAGCCATAAGTGTATACTTATCCGTCCGACAATAATATTAATCTTGAAAAATAAATTTATGGATCTTAGGAACTTTTGAACGTTGCCAACGCTCTTCCCTTTTTTTATGGATTTTGTCCGCTTATCCTTATTTTTTGGCAAAGTCGTACCATTTCGGTGGTGCGCAATATCTCTTTTCAAATCGTGAAGTAGTATTAAGGTAAAGTGCAAATTGCCTGGGACTATATATTGAAGAAAGAGAGGTTATTTTTAGGTTAGAGTGAGCGCGTCTCAGGTGTTTTCTGCATTTTCTGCAAGAAAATAGTGCAATATTAGATATTTTATGCATATTATGTGCAGAATTATGTGCATAAAGCCCATTCTACATTTGCGTGGACGTGGATGTAAGTGGTTGTGATTACGACAACCAATCAGGGTAAAGCAATCAGTGAATAAAACATTCGGATTGGTTGACTCTTACGTTCACAACTACGCTTACGCAATTGTAGAATGGGCTTAATATCTTCCTGACGCGCATATCCTCCCTGCTCTTTACTAGGGGTGCGTTCAGATTCTTCATCCGGGTGCACTCTATTAGAAACATTATAGTATATGTCACATATACTATAGCACTTCTAGTAATAGAATATACCCGAGTGGGAAATCTGAACGCAGCCTAGGGTTGCTTTATGGCTCCTGCACACAGGACGCGGTAATGCTTGCCGTGCGGCGGAAGTTCGCGCAACAGCCAATCAATATGCTGCTTTCCGTAATAACCTTCTAGCTCTTACTGAAAAACAACATATTGATTGGGCGCGTTCAGCAGACGCAACTGTTGTACAACTGTTGTGTAGATGCTGCTGAACGCACTTCGCTCAGTTACCGCTACTCAACATGTTCCGGGAGCGGGCGCCATTTTTCCCATTAAACTTTTTCTCCGCTACCTACGCGCAACATGTTGCGAAACAAGATGGCAGCGCAAATGAGAGAAGAAAGAAGTAAACACTATTAAAATCGTGTATTATAGTATATTTTTTAAAATGAGCTTAAGAAATTGTGATACGTAAATTGTGATATGTAAATCTTGCATCTAGCAATTACCTGTCACACAAGTAAAAATATGCCAATATAATAGAAAAGAGGGCCAGCGATGTAACGAGCATATAGAAATCTTGTATCTCTAGCTGCTTAACTT